AAAACGGAAGAGTTTAAATTTACTGCGACACCGCGGACCGGAAATATTGCAAAAGGCACGTGTCCTTGCGTTCGATCCAATTTGAAATGTGATATTTGTGGATGTGAAGACACACGCGATAATAAACATGATACTGCACCACGCGCTATCTTTAGTTTCTCGTTTATAGCGATTTTCTAATTGCAGCGAATAGTATACAAATGGCGCGGGAATGAGTAAACGAGTATTCGATCCAGATCGTTTTTCACCAACTTTCACGGTAAATGGACGAAATCATAGCACGCTTAAGCGAATCGAAATTAGACTGTTTTTTCCAGAATTTCGAAGTTAAAAGAAGACGTGAAATCGTTGATGGTTTATTGTAACTTTAACACGGAAAAGAATTTTTCGACCTGAACTTCCACGGTAAACGAAATTGCAGACATAGCGACGAACGTTCGGAATGTCAGCTGTCGTATTCTTTGGAAACGCAAAACTACGATATTCGTGGACCGTGCGAAAACCTGCAACCAGGCACTATTCGATAGAAAAAACAGAGAATTCGATTCGAACGGGATAATATTGTTTACCGCCACAACGATTTACGGGGGGGAAAAAGGTTGATTCGGACTCCGGAATCGATCGCGACGGCAAAGCAGATTTAAATCCTATAAAAGAACAAATTAACGAACGCGCGGGATTATTGAAATTCACTTCCCAGCGCGATAATTCTCGGTCTATCGGGCTGGAAGTCATCGAAATATGTTTTGCACCCGGGCTTTGAATAGCAATTTGTTCGGGAACTTGCACGAATGTTCAACGATCGACACGAACAAGATTAGATGTTAAAGAAAATTAATCTGGATGGAATTCTTGAATTTTAACGGGACTGTAAAAATTCCATGAGAAAAGTGGGTATGCTAAGAACAGAGTTTGAGAGGTTTGGGGCGTTAAATCATTGATTAATTTAAAATATGCAAATACTGTTTTTGGAATAACACGTAAGTTCGCGTAATTGGGGATCTCCTACTCGCCTAATCCGTCGGGACGAGATTCTTTAAACTTTTTCGAGGGATTAACAGCGTTGTGGTCCCTTCGAGGACGCGAATTGGCACTGCAACACGGTTCGAATCAGATCGACGGAAGTTACGATTTCCGTAACGCGAACGGGGGGGAAATAACATTACCGATATCGAAGGAAAGGGACTCTGGTCTCGCGTTTCCGCGCGAGGATCGAACGGCCAACGAAAAGAGAAACGGCTGCGAACGAAGTTGTCTCGCGAATCGAGAATTTCGAAACGGCTCGACGTCCCGTGAATTCGCGATTCTCGTCGAAACGGAATACCAAAACGATCGAGAGGAAGAAAATAGACCTGAGAAATTAAGAATTTTGTTACGATCGATGGGTGTGGTGTGTTTGGAAGCAAATGACACGTGAATCGTCTCTCTGCCGGAAGCTTTCTCTTTCCATAAGATCGAAGAATGCCGCGATAAAAAAAACAAAGAGAAAGCCTCGAAACGCGCACCTTCGAAAGGAACCGTTGGGAGGGCGTTTATGCATCGATTACCGCGCACTTCTAATTGGCGTACGGCTACGGTATAGTTCGCCAATGTAGAGTCATCGCGCGCGAAATGTTATCGAACGCGATTCTCGTGAACGGGAGGACCGGAAGGGAATCGGTCCCGAGGATCGAGAGAACCACGTGGAACGTTGGCGGAAATACTCGAACGTCTCCCCTTTGTTGCGGTATAGTTCCGGGGGTACAGAGACGAGGGGACTCGCGAGATTCGTATGGTTTTGCAAATGAAAGAAAATAGTGTTTTGGGAGGCTCCGGAGGCGAGCTTACGAGTTAGCTCGGGGCGCGCGATTGAAACTGAGGCGGTTCGAGCGCTCGAGAGGAAGCAGCCCGCTCCGAATCGTCGCCGATCGTCCTCTTCCTTTTCATCCGCCTCCTCGTGGTCCTTCTGTCTTTCTCTGACCCCGACCACACGTTCAGGGCAGCCTCTGCATATACACGTTCCCGCGTCCATCCACAGACATAGGTAACGGAGCAACGGGGCAACGCATGCGTCCGATCTTCGCACGCCCTCCGACGTTCTATGTATCGCGCTTTCGACACCTTCGTTCCGCGTTCAATTCTCGATGCATCGCTACGCGTCACCCTGTTCGAACGTTTCGACCTATCGTCACGCGCGTATCGATCCCCGTACCAATTCGCGATCGTACGTTTCAAGAACGAACGATCGAAACGAGGAATGAATTCCGGGAAATTAAATCAAATTATTAATTTTTTATTCGCGAATAAATGCGCGAATAAATTGGATACGATCTGACTTACCGACGAACGCGGCGGGGAAGTCCTGCAGGTCACCGATTATCGACAGAAGGTATTTCTAGCAATAGAGGAGGCGGTTTGTTCTTTCAATTAGCCGCGGCGTTTGAATACGGCGAGCAGATTGTTCGATAGCCTTTGGTAATTTTAATGTTTAGAAATAAATTAACCCTTTTAGTGCCGAACGACGATATATCGTTGCGTATTCGATGGTGCCTTATTCTTCGCATTAGGAGAAAGCTCTGTCTCGAAAAAAAATTTATAAAACATTGTAAAGGGTCTGACTTTATTGCAAAAGCATTTGAAAAATTATTTTTGGGTTTAACTTTTTGCCCCAGAAACGTATGTATTCTGGAGTCGTCATATTATACGGAGTGTTCGACCAACCCTGGGAAAAATTTTAATAGGAGATTCTAGAGGCCAAAATAAGGCGAAAATGAAGAATATCAGTTTCTTGACCGAGGCCTCGTTAAAAAGTTATTAACAATTAAATTAAAAAATTTCAAACCGTTTTGGAAAAATTATTTTCGGTTGCAGGGGTCAGTTACAATTATTTCGGGTGAATAGACATACCCCCGAAATCCTAACCACTTTCGAGAAAAAAATTCGAGTAGGTACTGAACTTTTTAGATGAAATTAAAATATTTAGAATCACGCTAAAAAAATTATATTTAGTTACAGGGGTCAATTACAATCATTTTTGATCATTACACATACCCCCGAAATCCTACTCATTTTCTAGAAAAAAATTCGAGAAGATGTGAAATTTTTCGACGGGAAAAAAAAATTTCAAATCGTTTTGGAAAAATTATTTTCGGTTGCAGGGGCCAGTTACAATTATTTCGGGTGAATAGACATACCCCCGAAATCCTACCCACTTTCTAGAAAAAAATTCCTTACCGAAAATCTAATGTTAGGCCAGAAATGGTTACCTTCAAAACATCATAACTCCTGAACGGATTGGAGGATTGTAATGTTTCGAGCGGCAAACAACGCTTATTTTGCTTGAGAATATGTAGAAATCGCAAAAATATTCGAAAAGTTGTTCCTTAATCCCGCAAAATGCGCAAAAACCCCATAAAAATGGTCCAATTTTCAAACTGCCATAACTTCTACAATAGTGAACGTATCTCATTGAAACTTTTTTCTAAAGTAGAGCTCATGGGTAGCTATAAAAATGTATCAGACAACTTTTCTGTACGGCGTCAAATAAAATTACTAAAACTCAAAAACGAAATTTAAGAAAAATCGACAGGGTAGGTCTGGATTAGGTCTGGGTTAGGTCTGGGTTAGATCTGTGAAATTTTTCAACTGGAAAAAGAATTTCAAATTGTTCTGGAGGATGGATGAGGAACACATCTGTAGTTCCTTGCATATTACATCTTTGTACTAAAGGGTTTAATACCCGTTAATAAATGAATAAATAAATAAATTATTATAAGGAATTATAAAGGTAACCTCAACAAACGTAATAAGTTGAATATGTACGATGAAATGGTGTCTGATACGCACACGTGACACTGGCCAAAGTCTGCTCACGTATACGTGACAGCGGCCATTAAAGTATTAAGATACAAAACGAACAGAAAAGTTACTAAAAGCGTATAGAGATACCGGAGTGGTTTGAATGGCGGTTAAAAGAATCTGGAGACCAACGATCCTCGCGAATTGTTATCTGGTAGATGGGAGCAACGAGCCTGGAGGGTCGATCGAACGCAGGAATCCTTGTAACGGTTTGCACAGATATCGATCGCGGTTATATTTTTCGCATTCATTGAGGAAACGTATAAATATAGTAATCGTGACGCGTTCGAGACGCATCGTACGGTAAAAAGAGCAATAATAGAAATGCTTCGACTCGGCGATAACGCGTACCGATAACGCGCACGAAACCGTCGCGATAAGGCTCCGCCTCGTCTAATTGATATGGGCAATTAGACGAACAAATACGCGAGTACTTCATCCTTCTCGGCTGAAGGAAGCGCCGTGGCCCGGGTCCGGGAAGAGTTTGCTTTGCGAATTGCGAGCGTTTCGATTTTTTCGACTCCCCTTTCGTGTACTCGATAACACACGAGCTTCGATAGCAGACGAAAGAACGAAAAAGGGGATGTTAAAAGCCGCGAATGAGTCTCGACGTGATCGATGACCTTAATGCGGACGCGTCGGATCCACGCGTGTGTACGTACGCGCGAATCAGAATCGTCGTTAAATTTTCGAAGCAATTTTCCGTGTCCCCTTTTAACGTCGCTTCGATTAACCCCGACGCGAGCAACGATAATCAAATGTACGTTCACGAAACGTCGAGATAAAATTCATAGCGAAATTACCTTTCCGCCTCGATACGACCAAGTTTGGTCGAGTATATTTTCTTTCGAATAAAAAACTATTCCTTTGATCTCGAGTCAGAATTCGGAAATTTCATTTACCGTGAAATGTGTTCCACGACGAAGCGTTTTACAATGTTTGAAACATTGTTTTTAACGGTTTGACCAGGGTAAAAGTTTCCTCTGTACAGCCTCGAGTATCTAAAATCTTAGATGGCAATGATAATGGAGTGATACGACCGGGTCGATAGGTTCCAGAGCGTATCGCGTTTGGAAAATCTGAGAGCGACGGGTTTATGGTCGACGGAACATGTCCAAGTCGAAAATAGACGTACGAGGATAGAGAAAAAAATGGCAACTTACCGCTGTACCAGTTGCCCACGTGATCCCTCAACGCCTCTGGATAGTCTCCGACCACGGTAGTCTCGAGATCAAACGTGCCAAACGAGAAGTTCGGCTGCTTCTTAATAAATTCCACCATGGACTTCATCATCAGCTGACAGGTGTGCCTGCCGGCGACCTGGCTCTGACCGTTCGTGGCGTAAACCAGATGCACCTTACGCCATTCATAACTGACGGCAGAGAAAGAAATATAGAAATATTATAGAAAGAAATTTAGAAATATTTTAGAAAGAGAATCGTACACGCACCGGTTCATCACGTCCAAGAAAAGATTCGCGAGGTCCCTGAACGCCAGACTACCGATTCTGGTCGTCATGAAGTACTCGTCCTTGCATTCGGTCTTCTTCTCCGTGAAGTCGTAGGTGAAGCCACCGGTGGTGATCAAAGGAGCGCCGAAAAACTTCACCACTCTGCCCACGGCCGCTGAAAACGTTCCAACGGTCGGTCGTTGATCGATTTTAACGTGTTACGAGCAAATCTCGGACTTGTTGGATGGCTTACCCACGCAATAGTCGCACGCAGGGCCCAGAAACAGATGCACGCAGTTGGAGAAGCCGTCGATGGCGGCGATCTGCGCGTACATGGCGTCGCAGTGGTCGTCGTGGGGGTGAAACTTGAGCCTCAGCCAGGGGGGCAGCAGTCCTCGCGAGCGGGCCTCCACCACGGCCAGATCTGCAAAATCAATTAATCGGTCAGACTACCAGCTTTCGTGGATTTCAAAAATTTATCAAGATTGGTCCCCTGAAGTCACGTGTATTTGCTTTTCTCTTTTTTTGACCCGTTCTCCAACGCGGTCTCCATCATGGTCGACTCTGCAAAATCAATTAATTGGTCAGACTATCAGCTTTTGTGGATTTAAAAAATTTATCAAAATCGGTTCCCCTCAAGTCACGTGTATTTGCTTTCTCTCTTTTTTGGATCTGTTCTCCAACGCGACCTCCACCACAGTCAACTCTGCAAAATCAATTAATTGGTGAGAGTACCAGCTTTTGTGGATTTAAAAAATTTATCAAGATTGGTTCCCCTCAAGTCACATATTTGCTTTCTCTCTTTTTGAGTTGTTCTCCAACACCTGGTATTCTTAATCTCTGAAACGAACAAAAACGTTTTATACGTAGGCTTCTGCGAATGCTCTTGATGTTGCCGCGCCATTGGGCTGTCTGTCGGGGCGCAGACTTCAAAGACAACCGACACCTTTGTAATCAAGCTGCGTTCTGGAAAGTGTCGGAAGTGGAAGATTCCCACCCTTTTATATTGGAAAACGGGAGCTTCAGACTCGATCTAAACACCGAACCAGCAATACTTAAATACATTTATCATCGTTAACCTATGGCTTTTATTTATTTGTCATCCTCTGCGAACATAAGATATAATTATACTGTATTTATTTGCACCAAAGAAATTAAAATGATAGATACGCGATGAAATGTACATAAATATATATACAATGGAAATAAGCGTTTATAATATCGTAAATTTTTCAAAAATTTTGTTAGAAATTATGACATTTTTTATTAGCATGCATTTATTAACGGAAATAAATCTTTTGATTCAAAAGATGTAATATGTAAAAAACAACAAATGTGGATTTTACAGGGTCAAACATTATTGCTTGTAAAATTTAACAAAATTAATTTATAATACAATAATTTTAGACTTTCTAATGAATTTGACTGCTTTTGGTAGTTCTGGCGTTAAAGAAACGAGTCTTTTAAAGAAACATTGACTCTGAACAACTCATTGTTTAAAATATCGTAAATTTTCGTAGATTCGGTCCAGTAAATTTTTTAAAAATTTTGTTGAAAATTATGAATGGGTCATTTTTTATTAGCATTATTATCATTATTATCATTTATTTATTAACGGAAATAAACCCTTTTTATTTCATTATTATTGCTTGTAAAATTTTAACAAAATTAATTTACAATACATGTGCAAGAATAATTTTTAGATTTTCTAATGATTTTTGCTGCTTTTGGTAATTCCGGCGTTACAAAAACGAGTCTTGAGCATTGACACTGAACAACAACTTATTGTTTAAAATATCGTAAATTTTTTAAAACTTTTATTAGAAATTATAAAATAGGTAATTTCGACTGGTTTGGTAGAGTGCCAGTGTTAACCCTTTGCACTCCTGTGTGGAGCGTGACTCGACATCGGTTCTTACGTCAGGTGCTCCTTTGACATTTTTTCAAGTTCAAACCAATAGAATTCAATTTCATTTTCGTACATTTTGAAAGAAAGTTTTGTGCAGTTTGCTCAAACAGAGAAGTACCTGAAGGAAGAAGGGAAATCTTTTTTTTTTGCGAAACAAGTTTCAAGAGATATCGTACGCTTGAAAATTACAAAATACAACATCAGTGTAAATTAAGCAGATATTTAATTGCATTGAGCCGCTGGTAACAAAATTGTAATATAATTTGGAGTGCAAAGGGTTAAAGAAACGAGTGTCGAGCGTGAACCCTGAACCCTAAACCCTGAAGAACTCACCGAGAACCGGGCGTACCCTCGGTAATGAGATGTCGAAGCTGGCGTCCGCCGGAAGCAGCACGGCGATCCTGAGCTCGCAGGAGAACGCGCCGTATCGGTTCTTCTTGCAAAGGGCCTCGCAATCGCGGGGCAGCTGCACCTCGCGACAGGTCACCTCGCCCGTCGCCGGGCACGCGAACCACACGAACCACACGAGCCACGCGAACCTCGATAGCACGATCCAATTGGTACCCATGTATGCGCGCGAGATCGATTTCCCGCGTACGCCAAAACCCGTCGCTTAAACGCGAGACCGGAAGACCCGACCGACTACCCGTCACCGTTCGAAACTCGTCGACGACGTGTCGTGAGCTTCTGACCCGGTACCGTCCACCCGGACGCGTCGCGACGAAACGACCGTCGACGCGTCCATTTTCCTTTCGATCCACCCGATACGCGCTCGATGGCTCTCGAGGCGTCACGGGATTCCGTTCGACGCCGCGACGAACGAACCCTTCCTCGCGGATCACGGGCGACGGGAACGCGAGAGCATATCTATCGCCAGGGCGGATCTTTCGTCGAATAATCGGCGTTTACAACTATTCTTAGATCATAGTCACTGGGAAACACGCGCTCGAACGCAGGTAGGAGGCGCGACAGAGGATTCTCCGCGAGTTCTACCAGAACATTCGTGGAAACGATCGAAATCTCGTCCGTCGAGACGTGAAACCGGGGGAACGGAGATCGGATGGCCGGGCGAACGCGAAACGACAGAGACGGACGCGACGAGACGGGAGGACGGATGAGAAACGCGGTTTCAGAAAACAAGAAAGAGTACTGACACTTCGTTCGATGATCTTGAACGCCGCGTTACCCACTCGCAAACACGTAAGTAGACATCTCGTTCGCTCGTGTCGCGTTATCGCTGATTTTCTATCGCGTCGATTGATAATAGCTATCGAAAAGCCTCGTCGCGCGTACCTGTTTCCTCCCGCTTCTTCTTTGAACGGTACGCGGCTTATTGTTCCACCGTCGATCGTTCCTCGCGCATGCACGCGCCCGTCGAAACTCCTCTCGTTCATCTCTGCAAACCTATTCCTATTATTTTCGTAATCGATCGTTACGCCGTCTTTGTTCGTCCCTTTGTCGCGTTGCTCGCGTACAGCTGTACGATATCTTTTCCCGGCAACGAATTACAACCGCGTTCTAATTGACTTCGATCTTTGAAGCTCCACGCGTCGTGCGCGTTTCTATCGCCGAAAACCGACGGGAATTTCCACTCGTTCGGCCAAGGTGAATTTTCAGCGCTACAGGACGCGATCGTTTCCACCGCGACGACAACGCTCTTCCCGCAGAGAAAGACACCCGTAACGAATCTCCCGGAACCATTGACGTCACGACTCGGCTTTCGAATCTTCTATAATTACGACCCTCGATTTACCGACGTATCGCCAATAACCGAAACCAACGTCGCAAGCCAGTCCAGAATTGACGCGTTCGATTCACCGATAACGATCAGGGTTTTTAACACAATTGCACAAACCACTTCGCGGAATTATCGATTAGAAATCGATCGGAGTTTTCAACTCCTCGAAATTCCGCGAATTCTTTCGATAAGACGCCTCCACGTTCTCTACTTTACCGACCGTCGAGACAAATGACTTCCGTTTTCGTAAAGGTACATTAACCTCTGAAACTTTTTACAATAAACATAAAACAAAAGAAATTATCGTGTTGAATGATAAAACACGATAAAGACGCGAGCTAAAATTTTTCTAATTCCACCTGTTGTTTTAACGAATATCTATTCTTGGGTCAAGCTACGAGAATCGTTGAAACTTATCGTTGCAATATTTCCGGGGGACCGATACGTTCGATAGAACCGCAGACGAGGTACAGGATCGAATTTCCCCCATTTACGAACTTCGATCGATTATGGTTCACAGAGTCACCGATCTTGGACGTCTGCACCATCGATTTTTCGTGACATTGGTAATTCAATTCGTGAGACACCAACTCCTATCTATCCTATACCTCGTCGGCGGTAAAACCACAAACGAGATCTCGTCTGTGATGCACGGAAGACTGAACGTTCGATGAAACTTAATATTAATAATAATATGTCTTCTACTATATGCAGAAACATCGATGAATTCAAAGTTCTTCGGTTAATTTTAGTTTTAGAAACGTAAACTTCGGTGGACGGAATTAAAATCGTTACGCGTTTAATTAATACGACATTCGTCTTTTGTCCATACCTTAATACACTTCTAGATGCATACATTTTTACTTCTAACGCATTTCTGTTTATTTATTAATCCCACGACGACTTCCTGAAACACAAACTCAAAAATATGTATCGCCAATGGACTCGACGGTTACGGTTAGTCTGTCAAATTTATAATAACCTGCAAGAATGGCTGATACTACGCTAGTCATCGAACGCGATGTAATTTCTACATGTCTGTTCGGTTAGCCAATGAAATTGCGTCGTTACAAAAATTCACTACAATCTACAAACGGAATTCCTATTATTATTCGCTACAATAACAGAGAATCAAACATTCTTTTAAACTAGCTAAATCGTTTCCATCAAAATGGCTACGATACGGTTACAGCGAAACAGAGTCACTCGATTGTTCTACATACTATTTTTAAATTAGACTTCCCTCTAGGAGACTGATCACATCAAGCACGTCTAAATGGCATCGTTGCCAGTACATTTTAAATATTAATTATTACCCATTAAGAGAAAGTTGCAGCTCTAGCACCAATCAAAACGCCTGTTGGAAGAAGAAAGAGGCTCGATTGGTATCAGCCCTCTAGTAACTTTCTCTTAGAGGGCAAGAATAAATGTTTCCAATATACTGTATATATTACAATACGTTATTAAACATTACAAATAATTTCTCTTCTAAATACTACAAGTACAAAGATAAATAATAATAATTCTAACTTGAAGTCTAACAATGCATTCCGAAATGTTGCACAAGGTTTCGTTTCGTTAAGAGTTAGTAAGTTCGTGTACGTATTTTGCCGCGAAACGAAGCTACCGTTGGCGCCAATATAAGAACCGAATCCTTTCACCATTTTTAACTACGAACGTTACAACATGAGCAATATTAATGCAAACACTTTTTACGGTCAACGAGCAATCAAGAGAAACAAGTCATTCGGGAAACCATCATGGGTACAAGTATCTCGAAAAATGCCATCGCACATTCTAGGACCGCCAAATTTTTGGATGGAATTTTACAAACAAGCAGAAGCCCTTGCCGTAGCTTTCAAGGAAAGTGATGACTTTAATATGCTTTGTACTTTTGTCTATCAAGGGGAGAATGGAAACCGTAAATTCGTGGTAGCTCATCCCGAAATGTATTGGTGGCATTACGAGCATCGACCAGCGGAAGAAAGATGTTCTTACGAGGTACGTCTTTAACAGCACGAATTATTAATTTCAGCAAATTTTTTACTCTTACAATTGTTACGTCTAACGACGAACAGCGCAATAATGTCTGAGAAACTTTGAATCAGGTAATTCCAGAGAATTCACCTTGTCGGTTATATCTGGATTTAGAATTCTCGATCGAATTAAATCCAGAAAGCGATGGCCCTTGTATGACAAATACGATAATTGATATATTTAATGCGTATTTGTGTAAACTTTGGGGTCTACCGTCCAATGTAACTAACGTACTGAATTTGGATTCAAGTACTTCTGAAAAGTTTAGTAGGCATATCATATTTAATATAAAAGATATAGCATTTAAGAACAATTATCATGTCGGTAGATTGGTAAAATCTATATGCAAAGATATTTTTAATTATATTTCGTCCAAGGAAGAGCAGCACGACGTTCTAAGCTCTTTCGATAAAACAAAACTTGAACAGTTATTCGTTGAAACTAAAAGAGATAAAAAATTATTTATCGATACCAATGTTTATACCAAAAACAGACACTTTAGAATATATAAATCCACCAAGTGGGGAAAGCAATCTAATTTGATAGTTTCCAAAGATTGTAAATATATTCATTCTACCGTGTACAATGACAAAGAGTTAAATATATTTTTGGATTCGTTGATATCTTATTTTACCGCCATGAAAGGTATGATATTACTTGAATATTTTCAAAATGGCACGATAGAAGCAAAGTCTTTTAAAAAAGTAGTGCGACAATACAATTATCCTAATCACAATAATTGTAGCTCAAAATATTTGATACTAGATAAATATATTAGCGACCTAATACATCCTGGGAAAGTACGTCTATGTAAATATTTTTCTTTAGCGCAAGTTTTAATGTACGAAACATACGGATACAGGTATTTGTTTTTGTTAAATACGCTTGTTAAATACATTTATTTAAATACATAGCCAAGTGTGTAACATTTGTGTTTTGATGTATAGATATTGCGAAAATATTGGTAGATGTCATAAGAGCAACAATGTTTCTTTGATTGTAAATTTGACTAGTAAAACGGTATATCAAAAATGTCACGACGAGGATTGTTTTGGTTTTAAGTCTGAACCAAAACAATTACCGGAGGAAGTTTGTTTCGATATTGACGAAGACGGGGACACGTTTATAAGATGTGCTACTATAACAGAGGACGTATAGTGCGGGAAACACGCTTTGTGTCAAAGTTTTTTTATTAAGGTAGAAATCACATAGACACAGTTTAGATTAGGAACACACAGACGGGAGTAAATTTCTAATAAATGCATGATTTCAGGTACACCAATATTGCTTTCTATCTATAATATCGTTCGACATCATCGTACAAAGTATATAGCTTTAAAATAATGAACGACACCTAGCTATGTTTAGATCAGTATACAAACATTTTGCAATATTATGCTCACTGTTATAAATGTCATATAGTATATCGATATAAAAATTTATCATATTACACAGATTGTTTATGTATTATTTATCGGCTAAGTAAAAAGGATACTTTGTATATGTGTAAGTAGTAAATTCATAAGCGCACATGTATAGTAAACCAGTTTTTTTCATGTTTTATACATCTATTTGTATTTAAACTACAATTGAATATACACGGATCCAACAGAATATTTTATTTTGTACAATTTCAGTATTTTAGGATGTAGCAAAATATCTCACTGCACGAGTTCAAATTACGTTACAATTTCCTCCGATTCAAAACTAATAATGTGCTTTTCGTTAACTCGTGGCAATTATTTCGATAACTCGATTAATGTAGGTAAAATTGACCATGAAGGTATCAGTCTCATGTTTGCTGTTTTAAATAGAATACAATAATCGTTTCATGCGTGTTCACATAGACGTGACGCGATTAAATGTACCGACGTACATAAAAGTGCCCAATATTATTAATATCGCATTTGTACTTGTCGACTCACTGTTCTGCCCACAGAGGATCGCATCAAAATCATTCTATCGGCAAAAACCAATTTCTTTATTCCAAATACTATAAACTGCAATGGTCATGCAAATAATTTTGCAAGATAGAAATAATCTAGTAAACCTCTGCCTTCCTCAGACGAATTTGTACTATCTTCCTCTTCTTCTTCTTCCTTCAGATCTTCGTTGAACTGTGGTACTTCCGTATGTTCAATTTTATTGTAGTCCTCCACGTTCTTACCATTGAGTATTTCGCTCCTTTCCGAATTTTGCATATTACCGTGTAGGACTTTATCCTCAAAAATATCTTCGTTTTTCAAGGGAACGTAATTAGTATCGGACGCGTCTAAACTCTGTTTCGCAATTTTGTAATTCTGATAATTCCTCGACGCTTCTCTCATACGAATTAAAAAGTTCGGTAATCCTAGAGTTTAAGAACGTAAGTACAAGCTGTAAACTTTGCAATCGAGTGAAAAATAATTAGTTTTTTAATCGCGTTCTCGTACACGAACAATGTATATACCTGTCATTGCGACCCACGCGGTAACCGCAGATGGAATATTTACACCAGGATCGTCGAAGTAAGTCAACCCAAACTCGATGCCTGGCTGATGGAATTCTGTGTAAGGCCTTATCACCATGTACGACCAATACGTTGTGACTCTGTTATGTACACACTTCAGATTATTTATTGAAAAGGAGAATCTTAGACTCTCCTACTTTCATATTTAATTCTGGCTGCCCAAATACTTATTGAACTAGGTGATTCCATAATGAAATACCAAACTAGAAAAGATCGATCGACCAACTTAACGATATCGCATTTTCCTACGTGACATCTACGCCGTTCGAAGTTGCAAAATATTCTATCAAGTGTTTGCAATACCTGTATGTTCCTGGTTTAGACGGCGCAGCGGGATGATCAGTTACTTTACTGATGATAATTATCAACCGTCTCTCTTTGTCCACTACCCAATCCCGTTGATACACATAGTCTCTATTTGCAAACAGTTTCTACAAACGTAATGCGAAGTATTACAATTTTGAGAGTCGGCTGTGTAATTAATATTATTAATAACTGGCAGTTATTGCCTACAGGCCATATCGTTTCCCAATATATAACATCGGAATGACTATCAGCGGACGATTGCGATGCAGGATCGGTATCTATGATTCGTAATTCGCGAGCGGTTGGATCCCATTCTTTTCTATAGTCAACGTCTATTTGTGCTTGTAAAAAGTCCTCTGCCGTAACTTCCGCAAAAGAACCGTATACTTTATACGCAAACAACCCTCCACAATTTGGTTCTTCTCTTCTCCATATAAGCATATCTTCTCGCTCTATATATGGTTTCCATCCCTCTGCTAAAATTAAAGGAAACAGTGGCTGTTTCAAATATTTGAATCTATGTTTATAGAATGCTCTTTAACAATTCGATACGTACAATCTTGATTGGAAGTGGCATTGAATTTATTATCGGTACACGTACAATACTTTATACCAGATTGTCGGACATCTATAACAATTCTTAGTTGGCACTTTGCGCACACAACCGTAGAATCTCTTAACCTGTAAATTCCTTCGATTTCTTTCTTGTAACTAACAAAAGCTTCTATCAGATGACGCCAGATAACAAATAACAAACAAATGCTACGAAAGAGCTGCTATCCTTACCCGTTCAATTCATCCTTGGTTATTCGTTCGCGATCCCAATTATACATAGTAATGCCTATACTACTCATTAAAAAATGCCTACTGTTTCTTAACGCACGATTCCTCCAGGATTTCATGAATTCCTTCAGCGCTACCTCGTCCCATATTCGAGTATATAAATGAAATATTTGTAAGCTTCTCCTTATACGCTGTGCAATGATAAATTCACACTGTTTGGTGCAAGCTTGGGCTACTTGCTCGCCTTGGGCTTTTAACCAGTGACTTATTCGCTTACGACAATCGTGAAATTTTCCATAACGTTCGCACTGCCGAAAAGATGCCAATCTAGTACTGTTTTGAACATAATTCGCACTAAATCGCTTTAATAACATGCCGGACGATTGCACCGTATACATCATTAGCGTCTCTTTCGTTTTTCAGCGTCTCGATAGTTTCTATCACTGGTGGTACAAGCACAAATAACGCAGCTTTACAAAATCCCAAATAACGATGATCTCGCGTAATCGTTTTATAGGTTAGTTTCAGCTAATTAAGATTATAAATTATTCAAAAAAAACGTCACTCCTACTTATCTTGAGAGTTGTTTCGGTAAAGTATCTGCATTTTTATTAAAGGTATTATAAATTATTTAATAAATGATCTCGTTGTTACAACGGAAAGATGAATGCAAGCGTATCCGAAATTCGGTAGCCGTAATACATGCTCGTTAATATCGATACCTAGCAGTCGATGCTCTGCCTTCGATACACGTGCGTTCAATGTTTAACCTCGATGCTTCGATATATTGTTTTCACGAAACACGCATCAATTAAACACGCAACAACGACGACGCTTTATTATTCTAGTGGTATGCTAAAATATTTAAATAAATTTGGTCGATACATCTTGGAAATTTCGATGTATCGATTGTTTAAATAAATTTCAATAAACCGGAACTCGTATTCGATATCTAAACGTACGGGAATCGCCGCGATTTTACGGAAACAGATTCTTGCATAGTTTCTCTTAGATTTCTAACGGTATCCGCAGGTTTCTTCCCAATTCAAGTTCCGTTTGGTTATTGGCACAAATTGGAGATAAAGAGCGGAGCATGCAACCCTTTAGAGTCGACGAATACACCTGTCCGGGTGGACATTCGAACAAATATCCCACAAGTGATCCACGTGAGTCGCGTTTGCAGTTAAAATAATGGCTCGTGCAATTATCACCGTACGGAAATCGACCCTCTTCAGGACACAGTTTCATGCTCGAGACTTGCAACTGAAACAAAAAATCAGTGGCTAGTTCGTTTGTTGAGGGTGGTTCTTTTCCACTGAAAAATCAAAGAGCTTTTAAATGGAGGAAGATTTTCTTTACCATTTCGATGGAATTCGGTGTTTCAGTACGTTCGAAGTTCGTGCAACCGTTTCGTCCGCCTGTCTGGTTTCTCGTGCACTGCACGCTTTTTTCGTCGAAAACCGTGTTTTCTGGGCACAACAGTGGCAGAAAATTCACTTCCAAATTATCGGTAGTGGTGCATTGATAAAACACGTTGCAATATTTCGGATGCTGCCGAAAACCGGTCGGACACACGACGGCTATTCGATTGGAGGTTAAGTTACCGACGATATAGGTAACGTCGGATTCAACGGCCGGAAATTCTGTAGCGTTCGAAAGATTGCGTTTATCTTTGCACGTTATTTGCCTGATCGCGGCTCGGAAATTACAGGTTTTTAGATGGTCGTCCCAAATGGTGCCACGGGGACATTTGAAGTCGTATTTGACGAATATACGACCGAAAGGGACGCATCTGTAAAATATCGAACAGTCGTCGGTAACGCCGAAGAAACCTTCGTCGATGCATTCTGAATCCTCGTATTCGTCAGAATATTCCGGTTCGATCGACGTGGGAGTTTCGGAGACCGTGGTTGTTTGTTCGATTGGCGTGGTATCAGTTTCGTGAGACATTGATAACGTGGTCGCGTCGGTCGCCATTGTCATTTCGGTTTCTTCTTCTTTTGTAATTTCCTCTGTCGTTGATTGTAAAAACTCTTTGCTAAATTGTTCGGTTTCTGACGGGATTATCGTTGTCGAGGTTACAATTTCCACCTTTTCTTCGACGGTTGTCGAAGGTACAGTTGTTTCGACAACAGTTGTACTTTTTTCGGTTGTTTGTTCGATAGTTGTAGGACTTTCTTCCGAGGTTGTAATTTCCACATTTTCTTCGACAGTTGTGGGTGCAATTGTTTCGTCAAGAGATGTAGTTTCTTGGGTTGTTTGTTCGGTAGTCGAAGGATTTTCGTCGCCTAATAAAAATTGTTGTATCTTGTCGAAAATTCGTGGACCGTCTTCGCCATTTTGTAGAAGGTCCACGTCGTCGTTCGGGGGTTCCGTTTCGTTCGAATTTGATTCACCTAAAAATATTATATTGCTTCACTATTATGTCGACACTCGACACTTTCCGTCATAGCAAATTTACCTTAAAACGAATTTTTAAGAAAAATCGACAGGTGGTAGGTGCCTAAATTTTTCGACGAAATTGAAAAGATTCAAATCATTCTAAAAAAATTATTTTCGGTTGCAGGGGTCAATTGCAATCATTTTTGGTGAATAAACATACTCCCGAAATCCTACGCAGTTTCGAGAAAAAAATTCAATAAGTGGACAAATTTTTCGGCAAAATTGAAAAATTTCAAATCATTGTAAAAAAATTATTTTCGGTTCCGGGAGGCAATTGCAATCATTTTTGGCGAATAGACATACCCCCGAAATCCTACGCAGTTTCGAGAAAAAAATTCGAATAGTTAGTGAAATTTTTCGGCAAAATTGAACAATTTTAAATCGTTCTAAAAAAATTATTTTCGGTTGCGGGGGTAAATTGCAATCATTTTTGGTGAATAGACATACCACCGAAATCCTACGCAGTTTCGAGAAAAAAATTCGAATAGTTAGTGAAATTTTTCGGCAAAATTGAACAATTTTAAATCGTTCTGGAAAAATTATTTTCGGTTGCAGGGGTCAATTATAATCATTTTTAGTGAATGGATATACCCCCGAAATCCTGCGCATTTTCGAGAAAAAAATTCAATACTGACGGAACTTTAAACATCAATAACTTTTTAACAAAGCCTCCATCAACAAATTGGTATTCTTTATTTTCGTCCTATTTTGGCCTCTAAAATCGCCCATTACAATTTTTCCCAGGGTTCGCGTCATTATTTTAAGGTAATTTAGTTTTTAAATATGTTAAGCAAAAATCACGTTATCCAGTGCTGCAGAAGTACAGTGTTGCAGAAAGGTTTTCGTAATTTTCTCATCGTGTTATAAGATACCGTGTTGTAGGAGGGCTACCTGTACTTACGACTACCTTGATCCGATATCGTGGATTGTTGTTCCGTTTGATCCACAACTCCGCCACACTCGACGCGTCCGCTTTCTTCAGGTCTCACGCAATTGTTTTTCTCGATCGAGTAGACGAGATCGCCGTCACATTGATAAACGAACCGAAGCGGATGGCCGAGCAAGTACGAGGTGCATTTGTAGAAATACTTGCATTTCTTTTGGTCCGCGAAATAACCCTGCGTCTTGCAGACGAACCCGTCGGTCTTCCAGTATTGCCAGATCGGCACTGGAGAAGAGTTCGCCGGCATATCCGAGCTCTGTTCATTACCTTCGGGACCAGCGTCCGCGAGGGCCGTCAAAACGCACAGAATCCACACGGATTTCCACATTCTCGAGGCGTGTCTCGTCGAAAAACGCGCGTTATAGGAAAGATCAACGGAAAAGAAAATGGTAGACCGGTTCCACGTTGACCTACCTGCGTTCGCGATCAAGTTAAAACGAACTTCGTCGATAGAGTTCCAGAAAATATATACGTTCACGAGATCGTTAAGTCGCGCTTAATCAAAAGTTACGACGGTTGAAACAGCGAACGCAGAGAGAGTAACGATTGGAAATCGATTCGTTTTTTTTACTACTCATTGTTTGTATTATCGTTCGTATCGCTAATTTTACAAGCTACGACCGCTCGAAAATCTTTCTAAGCAACCTGTGCTCGCTACATCCGGACGCGGAGCCAGACGGAAATGACTCGAAATTCCTCTGCTCTCGTCCGGTGTTCTCGAACAGGTTGCGTTAACAGACGTTAGAAAATTCTTCGAGCAAAGTAGCCCGGCTATGTCCAGTGTCTTCGATGCTTCCGTTGAACCAGCTCGAGCTTCCAGAGTTCACTCGTTCAGCTTCCGACAGTCCAACATCTTTTGGGCTTCCGTCTGCAATATTAGTACGTTATCTATACTATTATATAAAGAGAGAGCCGATTTTTATGTTCGCGCAAAGCTCAAGACCTATTGAACCGATCTTCCTCAAATTTTGACACGTTATTCCTGCATACTCTAGGATGGGCATAGGCTATGTAGCATGTCTCAGAAGCGCGTTATTAACATGTAATTTATATGCAAAGATTTCATGTGTACGACTGTTTGGCGGACCACGCGACCCCTGTATACGACGGGCTACTTGCGCGCGCATACGCATATTCGGCCCGCGCGATACCTCGCCCGTAGCAGTACTGCGATGTTACCGCCAGGTGGCGAAGCTTCTCGAGCGCTTTTTTTTCGAGAGAATTGCATTATCGCGGATATATGTATATGTCAGGACGATCGTCTGGTCATAAATTGCTTTTGCTAGTTCGCGAATAAAGTCGTTCGACTTTCTCGTTGGAGGTTCATCGTGATAATTAACGTGAGATAGCGATTCAGGGGATACCTGAATGAAATTGTAAACGTTCAGCAGCTGTTCCAGGGACGGTCTTCCACGGGGAACGCACTCGAGGCTACCCGACTCGGTGAATCCCACCCTCTGGCTTCTCTTTCCCCAGCCGGTGGAGAAGTTCAGCTGAGCCTCCGTTCCGGAGTCGAAGATCAAGCATAACAAGATGATTATCGCTAGAGAGCAACGTCGAAACTTTCGATACCTAAAACGAAACGATCGTTAGCTGGAATTTTATCTCGTGACGCGATGTATCGTTTCTACGCCGTTGATCGTAAAAGCGGAAACGCGATTCCAGTCAAGGTCCCGGCTTCGATCGCGACGCGAAGAGAGTACTTACATATCGATGCACGCTTTCGGAAGATTACAATGATAATTTGCTCGCCAGATGACGGTCACGATCGTTCGCGTTCTTCGGGATGGACGAGTTTGTTTGACACGAACGACACCGTGGATGCTTTTATAGTTTTGATGGCTGTTCTTGAAGTTCTTCCGAAAACTGGAGCGACGCGCCGGCGTCGAGGAGCATCCTTTGAGCAGGGTGGTTCGACGAAATGGAAGACGCGTTTTTTTTTTAAATTACAGTCGACACTCCCTGTACAATATGATTTCTATCTAGTAGCTTTAATAGATATAGTAGTGCCCACATAAGTGACCAACCTGGGGACCGACCGCGGACACTTATGTGGGCATGGTTATTTCTTAGAATTCAAAGGAGATAAGGAAAGAGGATAAGTGTGAAAACTGGGAAAAATTTTAATAGGAGATTTTACGCATTTTTTAGAATACATTTCTAATCTTCATTTTTTAGAAAATTTCATGTGAATCTTTAAAATATCATAACTTCTGAACGGATTGGAGGATTTTAATGTTTCAAACGGCAAACAACGCGTATTTTGGTGAAGAATATGTAGAAAATCTGAAAATATTCGAAAAGTTGTTCCTTAACCCCGTAAAGTGAGAAAACCCCATACAAAATGGTCCAATTTTCAAACAGCCAGAACTCCTACAATAGTGAATATATTTCAATGAAACTAGACCTCATGGGCACCTACAGTAAAGTTGTTTGTCGGGCGACAAACAAAATTATTAAAAATGAAAATCGAATTTTTAAGAAAAATCGACAGGGGGTAGGTGCCTAATTTTTCGACGAAAAAAAAAAATTTCAAATCGTTCTAAAAAAATTATTTTCAGTTGCAGGAATCAATTACAATCATTTTTTATGAATATACATACTCCGAAATCCTACACAGTTTCGAGAAAAAAAATCGAATAGGTAGTGAAATTTTTCGACGAAAAATAAAAATTTCAAATCGTTCTAAAAAAATTATCTTCTGGTCCGGGAGGTAATTACAATCATTTTTCGTGAATAGACATACTCCCGAAATCCTACCCATTTTCCAGAAAAAAATTCGAATAGGTAGTGAATTTTTCGACGAAATTAAAAAGTTTCAAATCGTTCTAAAAAAATTATTTTCAGTTTCGAGGGTCAATTAGAATCATTTTTGGTGAATGGACATACCCCCGAAATCCTACCCATTTTGCAGAAAAAAATTCGAATAGGTAGTGACATTTTTCGACGAAATTAAAAAGTTTCAAATTGTTCTAAAAAAATTATTTTCAGTTGCAGGGGTCAATTACAATCACTTTTGGTGAATAGACATACCCCCGAAATCCTACCCACTTTCTAGAAAAAAATTCAGTACTGGTGGAACTTTAAACGTTAATAACTTTTTAATAAAGTCTTCATCAACAAATTAGTACTCTCTATTTTCGTCTTATTTTGGTCTCTAGGATCTCTCGTTACAATTTTCCCAAGGGTTATGCTCGATGTTTGAAGCCTCTTGGCTTCTAAGAATTGATGCAGATAACTATGGTCACTTATGTGGGAAAAAATCCAGTCACGTATGTCCACTATACGCGTAAAAATAAAAGCCGTCTCAGGATTAGAACAACCTACCACCGGTCGTTGCAGTGGCAATTTATGATTCTTTTGCTAATACCGTTCACTTTCAATATACATTTTCAAACAAGACACAAAGCCCGTGCAACCTCCCCGAACCTTAGGTTATTCTACACACCTTTCATTCAAAGTACAATAACTTCTCCCTTTAAGCCCACCGTGAAACAAAGTTATTATTAAGCTTCGTGATGGATCGTTTTCTCGCCCCAGATTCGAGCATAAAAGCTTTGCCCTTCAACGCATAGACCGTCAGACAGACTTTTAATTTCAGACGATTGCAAACTAAACGTAACTTAAAAAATGCGTCCTGGTAGATACAATAAATAAAATAAAAAATAATTTTTAAATAGTCGTTTGTGTTTTTTTTTCTTTAACAATTATTGGAAGCGAATTTTGCGACGTAGTTCCTGGCTTCTTCGAGCGTTTCTCAATCGGTGGCCGAGAAAGGTTTCCTCCTCGTTCTGTGACGGATAAATCTGAGCGTCGAGACGCGAAGCCCGACCAGAATCCGGTTAATTAAACGTTTCTGGTCTCTCTCGGTCCAGCAATTTCCGGCCCATTTAGCGTTCAGGGTGTTCTGTAGCGGGGGGACGCGCTCCACGTTTGTATTCGAATTCCACTTTATTGCTACAAAAAAAGGAAATTACACGTATCTCTGACGACGATAGATGGATCGCGGGTAAAGGACAAAGGTGTGCAACATACATGCCTTGCCATCGACTATCACATGTTGAGTAGGTCGCCAAACTAATCGTTTACGCGTACCTCGGGTAATGTACAAGAAGCCTGTGTACGCGCGTATCTTTCTTCATCGTTCCCAATCTCTCCCTCACTCTCTCTCTCTACGTACAATCAGGTTACGATGGGTATTCGCTTCTTCGTTCTTTCGCCGAGCGCGGCAGGATAGTCGAGTCGATCGAATCGAATGGGAAAGCGTCGAAAAAGAATTCGCGGCGTGAAAATGATTTTTTTTGTCTCTTATTATTTTTTTTTTCTTTCTCTAGTATAGAAGGGCAGTGTTCAGAGTAAAATTATCGCGAACGGCTTTTCCGTGCCGTGTGTCTTCTACGCGTCGACTTGCCGCGATGAAATCGAAAGATGGCGAACGACTCGAACCAAAAAAACCATAAAACGGGTGCAGAGTTTCGGACGTTCTTCCGATCGACGTGAAATTTGGAGGGCGGGAGTCTTCCCTCCCCTTCAAATTTCGTTCGGAATCGCAGCCAAAAATGTTCGTCTCGTTCGTGTTTCGATTTCATCGCGATCTTGTTTCGCCTCCTGCGGATCCGCGACGATCACCGACGGAAACACGTTCTTTGTACTTGCAAATTGTATCGCTGAAAAAACAAGCGCGTTGATATGACGTACACGACATCGACAATGGTTCCGACGGTGGCGCCATTAGTTCGCAGTTTCGTCGTTTGTTCTCCCGGTGGCAAGCGTTCTAAAGAAGCTGGGCAGCCATTCGTTCGTGTATCGATACGCAGGATTCACCACCCGGTTTCACATATCCTCTGAGATCACACGCTTTTCGCCTAAGCTGCATTTCTTGATCGTATAAATTAAACCTTAGCTTTTTTTTTCTCTCTCTCTCGACGCGTCTAATGCGCGGACGATGCGTTTTACGTATTTATACATATTATATCGTCATTGATTTATCGTACAAAAAGCTTACAAATTATTATCACATATATATGCGTGTACGTACGTGCGTGCACGCGTACATAGGTACACGAATATACATACATATATGTATACATACATATACATACATATACATATATATAGGCGTAGAAATTGTTCTTCGAGATGGAGCGATACACGATCGACGATCGACGATCACGCGATACGCGTGACAAAAATGGAAGAGAAGTAAATGGGGGTGGCAATCAGTTCCGGGACGAGGCAACTTCCCGTTACGGGAATCGATTCGTCGCCACGGAATTGTTCGCGTCCAACGTAATATACGTATCGCGTTTGTTTCGTCCGCGAAATCTTTTTTCCCAGTAAAACTATATTCGGTAGGTATTCGATTACAGGCTAAAAACGATAAATCAACGTCGGGTTGCACGGTATGGCACTCGATCTCCTTTCATCGGTTTTCGAGTCGTTTCTCTAACGCCACCCGCGACGTATCACGCCACACATCCTTAAATACGATCTACACCGTGTCACTTACAATAATTATCCGCGGCTCGACGGGTAATCGCAAACCTCGAGGAACACGTGCACGCCACGGAGAGACGCGCGTGCGCGTAAATCGTCGTCGTTGCGTCCGCGAATCGTCTCGGGGACGCTACACGTACCTGTATGTACGTATATATTTGTATTTGTATTACTATTTATAATCTATTATATCTGTATTCGCTATTACGTGAAGTTTTTCCTCACTCGATACACGATTTTCTCACTCACGCACATCCAGTTAATAAAATATTCTATAAGTTAAATAATGGAGAGCGATGCCCGCTCTTGTTTCTCTCTCTCTTCGGTGCCATTGCGTACCGTTCCTCCTACGTCGTTCGAGTCGCCATTTTGTTTCGCCTTGTGCATCGCAACGGACGTCGCACTCGCGTCACTGGTAGGTATAATTCTCGGCACGTCTTCCCTATATCTCTTCGCGTTTAGTATACATATACATACATACACATATATATATATATATATTTATATTTATATAATGTAACGTATAAAAAAATAGTCCAAAAACCTCGTAACTCGAATGATTGCCAAACTTACAAACGCTGCACGTACTTCTCCGAAGGATTGTTACATTCCTTCGCCGTCGGAGATCAAGCCGTATCTCGCGATTCGTCCGGTCGGAGAATAATCGCGAGCAATCGAGAAGTGGATGGCCTCGCGTGCTTCCGTTCGACGCAGAAACGGCCAAAATTTCATTTGTCCCGTTAATCTTATTTTTGTTTTTAATCTTTCGTTGTTACGATCACGAGTAGCAATGTTCAGAGAAAATTTTGTCCATCTCTGGCTCGCTGTCGGAATGCACGCGACATTACTGTTGAAATTAAAAAATAGCATCGTCTCCTGTTACTACTAGCTGCTCGAGGACTTGTCGTTTCAACTGGTACAATGAACACAGTCGCAGTCTTTCTTGGCCGTTGCGTCCTCAAGGGGTTGCACACCACCCAGCCGGTCTCGAAAGAATTTTCTTGCATTTTTTTTACAAAGTTTCATGCGTCTAAAACGTTGCTTCAAAGGGATTTGTTTGAAATTCTAATAATTGACAAAGGTATAGCACGTGGGTTTCTTTTCAACGTCAATGTACTTCCTTGACTTTGCGTGTAGAAATAATACTGGAAAACTATGTAACCATACGTTCTTTAAATGCATTCTGGTAGACTGTAGGAGAGGTGACTATACTTGGAATGAGAGTAAACTATAAATTTTGAGAAAAATTGCACTGCAGATTGTTGTGCAATCCATAAAAGAAGACTGCATTTGGATGACTCGTTTATATGTCAACATAAATAATGAAGATTTAACCTGAGGAAAGAAAATTAAAATTCAATCGTTTTTTGAGCCGTTCGAGTGGCGTGCCCCTTTAAGGGTATCTCTATGACCTTTTATCGCTGTCCGACGATTTCGAAAAAACAAATAACAAAATAAAAGATAGCGTGGTTCGTTTCTGTTTCGATACGAGCCGCGTAGAAACAAAATACAATATCGTTCGTTTCGTCGTTTACCCTAATCCCTCGACCTCCATCGACTCGTGGTCGCGCGAAACGAGGGAACCGTTCCCCCCGCCAAAACACGGCGGGAATTTGATTTCTTCGCTCGCTGCAACGAAAACCGTCGGTCCCTGCAAGTAAAATAATACGCGACGATCCCATCGTCGCGACAGTCCGTCGAAACGAAACGCGCGCGAACGAGTGTCGTCGTTGTCGGCAAAATACTTTGTGTCCAGTTTGTCTTTTGCCGCTTTGGCATCCGTGAAACGTAAAACTCGACGAAAGGGAAAGGAAGTTGTCCCTGGTCCGTGTCCCCTTGGTCGAGCTACGGCGACGTGAAAACGCAAAATAAAGTCCTCGCGTCGGTTAAGTACAAAATGAGAGAAACTCGCGAATGATTCCGTGATAATTTGATCGATCTCGTGGCTCAACACCAGCTCTCGCTCTCCCGTTCCCCGACGCCGTCGCTCTCCTCGTCGCTGGGCTCTTCGCCGTACATGTCTGCCAGTTTTCGGAACCTCGGTCCGAAATTCGACAGATAGTTGAACTTGAGGTCTCCGTCGTCGGTACCTGTTGGCAAAAGGAACGCGATCGGTCAGATTGCTGGTCGAAGACGACACACGTTTACTGTTAACGAGATACGTACACGAAGCTAAGGACGACAAGGAGCCCTCGGAGTTGCCTTCGCCCTCGTACGCGTAGTGCCTCACGTCGTCGAACGGATTCGTGTCGGGATCTTTGTCGCAGCTCTCCTTCTTGCCGTCCAAGAAGCCGCAAATGTCTGGAACTTCGTCGGGAGCTTAAAAACGAACGAAAGAAAACGGTGTGTAAATTAGATTAAGGTTTTATATTACCTAACCCAGACCTAACCCAGACCTAACCTAGAGCTAACCCAGACCTAACCCAGACCTAACCCAGATCTAATCCAGAGCTAACCCAGACCTAACCCAGACCTAACCCAGACCTAACCCAGACCTAACCTAGACCTAACCTAGAGCTAACCCAGACCTAATCCAGACCTAACCCAGATCTAACCCAGATCTAACCCAGACCTAATCCAGACCTAACCCAGAGCTAACCCAGAGCTAACCCAGACCTAACCCAGACCTAACCCAGACCTTACCTCTTCCCTGCAATCCGACAGGTGCAATTTTCGAATCGATGGGCGGAGCGTCGTAAATAGTCCTCAAAACGTTCAGGTCGTAACCGGTGTCGACCTCGCCGCCCCCTTCATCCTCGTAATTAATAATATTTTCTCTAATATCGTCCATGTCCTTGTACAGGTCGTCCGTTTTTCGCCTATGCACCACCACCGCCAGCAACAGTATCAACAAGATCGCCACGCAAACCAGTATAGCGACCAGAAAGTTCGTATCGATTCCGAAGGAAACGGCTTTCGCCATTCTGTGATCGCAACCTGGATCCGCGTTCCTCGACAACGAGGGCATCCCCAAATTATACGTCTGAAACACGCGAAGATCGATAACCTCGGTTAGAAACGAGTCTTTCCCGCGTTGGTAACGTTGCTACTTTGGCTAATTTAGCACGGGATATTACGTTTCCGTTGAAGGTCATGTTGCGTATGCAACCGACGAATCCTCTGTCGGTCGGTTTGTGATCCCATCCAAACTGCGAGGCAAGGTGCGCCAGGTTGGTCAGGGTACCTCCGATCTGTATCGGGCTGTTCACGTTCAGGAACTCGTTCGAGCCTTGCGGCGCGGTTAGGCTCATGCACGCCGATATACCGCAATTGTCCACTTTCATCTCGATCGACTGTAACCCGTGAGAAAAATTCGATCAATTTCGAAACTTTATTACTCTTTTACTCCAACGAAAGAACAGGAACAGGTAGCTTACGTTCTTCGTCCAGTAGACGTCTATCCTGTGACTCTTGCCGTCGGTGAGTTTTATTTGCTTCTGATCGAGCCTCACGGTGCCCGTGCCGTAATCCATGTAAACCACCGCGAACCCATGCTGAAGCTCCAAAGCCATGAAGTCTTGGATCTCCGAGTTGTGGGTCATGGGGCCGAAGTAAAACACCAGGCCATTGTCCACGTGAGGTGTTATCTCGAGACCTGACAAACGCAACAACTTTATTTCTATTCCTATGCGTAGATATTAGCAATTTTTCCTTTGGCCATCTAGGATTAAACCTTTGAGTGCTACGAACTCACTTACCGCAACAGTATTCAGTCTCCAATGAACCCTCTGGCTAGGAGTACTCAGCACTCAAAGGTTTAAACTTTATTGAACCCTTTTTCAGCGCACTTACTCAAATGGGAGTCGTCGCAAGCTTGACCAGGCGGTGGCATGACGGCCCATCCGTCACCGTGGAAGCCGATGCCCAGCAGCTCGCACCTGGGGCCTTCAAAACCGGGCGGGCACTCGCAGTGCTCCGCCAACGGGGTGCCTCCGTTCAAGCAAACGATTGGCTCTGCCACGTGGCAGGTGCACTGCGGGTCCACGACCGCCCGTACGCCGACGAACGAGGTCGTGTTCGTGTAGACGGCGGACGGGACCGTGCTGGCGTTCAGGAAACTGCGACACGAGTCGTTGCAATGCAGCTTCTCAATCAGACACTCGTCGATGTTCACCAGCAGGACGTTCGTCTTGAGCTCTCGCTCTATCTCCTTCATGCGTCCCGCCAGGATCGTGTTCAACCTTTCAGGAGCGTAATAGGGACTGCCGTGCGCGGAGAACCTGACGTCGAGTAGGCTTTTGTTGTTGTGGTGGGGCGAGTGGAGCACGGTGAACACGTCCACGTTCTCCACGGATGCGTTCAACATGTTAGCGATCCTCTCCTGAAAAATCTCCTTCTTGCTGATGCCAGATGCGTCTGGTGCAACGAACTCCTCGGCGCTCATCCCGGCGAACCGCACGGATCCGGACCTGGTCACCGCCTCCTCGGGCAGCTCCTTCACGGTGACGTTCACGTAAGCGTGCACCCGGTGCTCGGGTATGTGCTTGCTGCTCTCGGTGACGATGAACTTCAGGACGTAAGTGTCGTTCGGTGTACCGGAGAGCATCGTGATCATACCGGTTTCTTGGTTCAAGAGAAAGCCCTCCTTCTGCATCATCCCCCAGGCGAAGTGTTTGTCGGGCAGGTCCCAGTCGTCCGCATCGTTCACGTAGACCCGTCCGATCTTCGTGTCGGGCGCCTCGCCCTTGTAGTTGTACACGAATATGGAACTCGAGCCCTCCGACATCGGATTGTCGTTCTCGTCCCCGATGATTACGACCAGCATCGACGTGTCCGTCATTGGCGGATGCCCGCTGTCCGTGATCGCGATAGGAAGCTCGTAGCTCTTTCGTTCCTCCCTGTCGAACTCTACCTCCGCGTACAAATTCCCGTCGCGGATCGAAAACTTGGACATGATTTCGTCGCGGATCGAATGCCTGGACAAATATTCTTCGTCGAACCGGTAATGAAACGGCGGACCGTTCTCGTCGGAATCGTAGTCCCGGGCCTTCAGCTCCGTGATCTTTCCAGGCGGACGGTTCTCGCGCCACACCACCGGTTGCTGCATGTCCAGAAACGGCGCGTTGTCGTTTATGTCTATCAACGTGATGTTCACCATTACCAGTTCCCGCAAAGCTGTCGGCGATCCGTCTTCGTCACGCGCCATCACTATCACCTGAAACGCGTATCAAATTTATTTAAGATGGTCCACGAGGAGGTTGATCGCTTTTCCAAATTTCTATGTACGTACCGTCCACATCGAATAGCCTAACGGCGAGTCCCGATCCAGAGGCTTCTTCAACGTCATGCAACCGGTCTTGTCGATTCCTATCAGAGGCTGTTGATCCTCCTTCACGATGAAGTACGCGATATGCTGATCGGCGCTTCTGTTCTTTATATCGGGATCGTAAGCGACGACGGTGGTGATGCAACCTGCGGGGCAATGAAGACGTTCCTGTCACGGTGACTCTTGCCTTCAAACTCGAGGATAAAATAGGAAATCTCGATCTCGGGGCTTACCTTCGACCAGCTTCTCTTCCTCGATGGTCGGATTTTTGTCAAAGTCCTCGAAGACGGGGGGATTGTCGTTGACGTTCTCGATGAAGATCTTCACCTGGGCGGTGTCGTTGTACAGCCCGTCGAAGGCCCTGACCGTCAAGTTGTATTCCGTGATCTTCTCGTAGTCCAAAGGCTTGTTCACGCGGATCTTGCCCGTGGTGCCCTCGATGTAAAAGCTGTCGTCGGTGTTCCCGTATATGATGCTGTAAGTGACCGGGCTGGCAGTGTCCGAATCGAGTGCCTTCACCTCGGTGACCGGGGCGTTGATGTTGGCGTTCTCGAGGATCGAGTTCGCCGTGTAGACGGCTTGGGTGAAGTGCGGCGCGTTGTCGTTCTTGTCCGCTATCTCGATACGGAACACCTGCTGACCTTTGTTGTGCTCGCCGTTTTGGAACAGGGCGCTAGGCGAATTATCCACGGCGATCACCTTCACGTTGTAAGTGTCCTCGACTTCTCTGTCGAACGTCGTCAGAGTGGTGATGTTGCCGGTGTACTTGTCGATCGCGAACAAATCCCGAAAGTTGTCCAGCACGTACGTCACCTTAATGGCAAAGAAACCGAGAAGATAGTTCGTCGAAGAATTTTTACGAAGACATTGGAACTTCCCGCCAACGCTTTTACCGACCGGTAACCAATAGGCCGCCTTTTTACCGACAACACTTACCGACCGGAGGCCTATTGACCGACCTTTTTTACCGGCAGCGTTTACCGATCGGTAGCGACGTCCTGGTCGATAAAGTGTACCTGATTGTGCGCTGATGTCCCATCCGCGTCGATGGCCCGCACTTGCATCACGGGCACGCCAGGCGGTTCGTTCTCTAGCACGCTGCCCTTCTTCATTTCACGAAACACCGGAATATTGTCGTTCACGTCCAGCACTTCTATGTCGATCACGGTCTCTGCAGCCAACTGATACTTGTTCTGCACCCGTACGATCAACGTGTACACCGTGTTGCTCTCGTAGTCGAGATGCTGGGCGAGCTTGATGTCCGCCACATCCTTGGTCGACTCCAGCCTGGCGAGGATCACAAAGTATTGTTTATCTTACGTATTTAACGTCAACTGGAATTGAATTTTACATAAACGGGGACTAGTTGCGTTTATCCGTATCGAATGGAAACTCGTTTTCAAGATCGACTCGCGACTGGTCCGACGCGGAAAAAGAGGAGGTCGCGGCCGCTCACCTGAACGTGTTCCCTTTGTTGGTTTGCTCGGTTCTGCCGGGGACGAGCTCGAAAAGGAGGCCACTGTTGTCGCCGCTGTTCGAGACGGCCTTAAGTCTCACGATACTCTGATCGAAGTCGCTGAAGCTCTCCGGAAGCCTGATGGGCTCCGAGGGCCTGGGCAAGAAAGCCGGTGCCTTTTTGTGCGACTCCACCACTCGAATGTCCAGGTCGATCACGCTCGCCTTGGGATTCTCGCCCTGATCCTCCGCCGTCGCGGTCATGCTGAACTTGTAATCCGGATTCCTCTGCGGGTGAAAAAGCTCGTTCGATCGATCGATCGTTTAAGAAATCCATCGATGATGGACGACGATACTCACGTCGATGGTTCTATTGAGGAATATGACGCCGGTGTTGCGATCGATTCGAAAGTAGACTCCGTCTTCCGGCCTCTTCGGCGACAGGCTGTAGTAGACGACGGAATTGTTGCCGTCGTCGATGTCGGTGGCGGAGACCCTCATCACCTCGCGACCAAGTGGCAAGTCTTGCGGCACAGACTCGGTGTACGCCTACGCGTCGACGACGACGCCAACCGGAAAACAAACGAGATTCGGTTTCGCTCGAACAACGCACACGTCGACGATTTTGCGATTTTTTGGTGCACACGATCGATGGGGACGTCTCTCCGTGCAAGCGGCACGAAACGAATTTCGTCCCTGTCGCGAGTTTTCTCTTCTAAATTCCTACACGCGTTTAGGTGCATGCGTCGAGATCTAACCCAGACCATACGTTAACGACAAGCGGCGATACGATCGGTAAGATTGCGCTAAAATCTCGTTTTACAACTTTTCTTAATTTGTTCCTTGTATTTCGTATCATTACTAAATGAATTCTATCGATTCGAGACCGACTCGTTTTATTTTTCTAAAGTGTATGGCGGCTATACAGAGGAATAGTAAAACGAGATAGATGTTTTCCTCCTGAGGCTGCTTAGTAGACTCATCACAGTTAGGTGATCCTAGCAGGTCCTGCCTTGGACGTCGAAATATTGAATGGTTGATCGAGAAACGTATACAGGGTGAAAAATTTTAATAGGAGATTCTAGAGGCCAAAATAACACGAAAATCAAGAATACCAATTTGTTGATGAAGGCTTCGTTAAAAAGTTATTAACGTTCAAAGTTCTATCCGTACTGAATTTTTTTCTCGAAAATGCGCAAGACTTCGGGGATATGTCTATTCACCAAAAATGATTGTAATTGAACCCCGCAACCGAAAATAATTTTTCCAAAATGATTTGAAATTTTTTTTTCCCCGTCGAAAAGTTTAATACATTCTCGAATTTTTTTCTAGAAAGTGGGTAGGAATTCGAGGGTATGTCTATTCACCAAAAATGATTGTAATCGATCCCCGGAACTGAAAATAATTTTTTTAGAACGATTTGAAATTTTTTAATTTTGCCAAAAATTTGTCCATCTTCTCGAATTTTTTTCTCGAAACTACGTAGGATTTCGGGGGTATGTCTATTCACCAAAAATGATTGTAATTGACCCTCGCAACCGAAAATAATTTTTCCAAAACGATTTGAAAGTTTTTTATTTCGTCGAAAAATTTCACACCTTCTCGAATTTTTTTCTAGAAAGTGGTTAGGATTTCGAGGGTATGTCTAATGACCAAGAATGATTGTAATCGAGCCCCGCGACTGAAAATAATTTTTCCAGAATGATTTGAAATTTTTTAATATCTTTTTAATGAAGCCTCAGTCAAGAAATTGATATTCTTGATTTTCGTCTTATTTTGGCCTCTAGAATCCTCTATTAAAATTATTTCGAGGGTTGGTCGAACACCCTGTATAGAAACGAAAGGGTTAGTCGAGCGCTTGCGAGAGAGCAGGACCTCTGGCGTCGATTACGGGAGGTGTCGCCACATACTAATAGGAAAAACAACAAAGTTGGTACTTCAGTACCGTTTCTGATAAAATTTTAAATTTCGTGCACGCGTCCGTTTGTGTATTTGTTTCTATTTTAATATTTGCGTTTCTATTAGAAGCAAAAAAATAAAATAGACGAGCGGGACGGTCTCGAATGTATTAATCGCAATAAATTGCAGCTTCCATCTCTCCGAAGCAGCGCGATCGTACCGTCCGAATCGCGCAAGCGATCTGATGCGGAACGAAAAAAACGACGCATTCGCATTCGCATTCGCATTCCCACAGAAAAACATCGAAATTACATTCACACCGCAAAATTCGAGACCAACCTTCCATACGTATCCACGGAAGACCTGGGGTTAGAAAAAGAAACAAAAACGAAGCAAAAGGTGGTTAGTAGCACAGTCGTATAAAGGTGGGGGCACGCGTACGTTGGCGGAAGAGCAAAAATTATTCATGAATAAGTCTCGAGAGCGTGTGGTATCGAAAGAAACCGCGGCCAGTTCAAGATCGATCAAACTGCTTCGAATCTGCCAAGTTAATTTCAAATTCTATTCGGGATACAAAAATTCACGAGTCTGAAATCATCGTAGGTCTCGAAAAAGTATCGATTTTTCACGGTTATCGCGTTGATTGCTATGGTGGTCACCGGTGACCGGCACTTTTTAATCAGAAAATGTTTCTTCCGTGTCGGAGCTTCGAATCGAAATATGTCAAGCAGCTCTTACCGATTGAAACCTACCAGATTGAAGTTCGTATATGTTCCAAATTCAGTTTATACACTGTTATTAGAAAAAGCAGGGAATTCGTGTGTTAATAGAAAAGACAATAGACAGCGTATACGAGAATTGGCATAGTCGTGGGATCAGCGGACGGTAAGTGACCGCCGTGTCCGAAGCGATCGATTCTCGTCGGTACGAGAGAACCGTGGACGAATCGACCGATGACCCATAGAGCACTCGAATCGACCCAGCTTCGAAGCCACTTACCACTTTGTCAAAAACCGGCGAGTTGTCGTTCACGTCTTCGATGGTGACTTTGAACGTGCACACGTCGTCCAGTTGAGGTCTTCCGTTGTCGGTCGCGAGAACGGTCAGATAAGCTTCCTTTTCCCTAGCTGGTTCGTCTCTGTCCAGCACTTGAGTAGTCCTGATTAATCCGGTCCTGTTGTTGATCTCGAATTTCAGCTTCTCGCCGGGAGCTGTTACGAAGCTGTACGTGATCGTACCTGCGTGCATATTGTTCCGAACGATTAATAAAAATTATTTACACTGTGAAATCAACGAATTCGAAACCGTTTATATTCCCAAACATTTCGATCGACCAGAAACGAGCAAACAAATTTGTTCGCCTTATCTGTTTACGGTCGAAACATCTACATATTTATTAACAAACTGTTCGATGTTTATTTCGCGGTATGAAAACATTCCCGAATCGACGAACGTTCCGCGATTTTTCATTTTTGCATAAATAAATAGATTAATGTTCTCCGTGTAAATACTAAACATTTAAACGCTTTGATCGTGGATTAATCACGATCTCACTAGAGAATAATTAAAGACGCGACGCATTTAACTTGATAAATTTAACACGCCACGAGCGACAGAGCTATCGAATAGACCGGTTGCTCCAGATTCTTAAATGGCAGATCTCCGGGACTTTTCCGTCTCGAAACCGTCCCTTTTTAGATTTCAACGTACCTCCCTCGTCCGGATGGTCCCTGTCCTCAGCGTGCACTTGAATCACCACGGTACCCGTTGGTTCCTCCTCCTTCACGATCGGCGCGTAATTCGAGCAATTCGAAAACACCGGCTTGTGATTGTGATTTTCGACCTGCTGCATCTGCGAGCGTAAAAACAAAAATCAAATCCCAACGGAGTCGCGAGAAAAAAAACATCCCGACGGTTACTCAATTATTTGGTCGGCCATCTTATCGTAATCCCTTCTGTGAATTCGTGGAACTCGAGGACATTTCAGACGCTTCGACTGTAACGCGATACCCTGCGAGAACGAGCCACAGCACACACAATGCAAAATAACCGTCTGGCCGTGCCACATAAAAAACGTCGTAGACGCTTTTCGATGGAAAAAAAAGGAGAAAAAAAAAGTCAGTCGTCGTCTCGCCACGGTCGAGTCAAGATGGACGTTATATTTACGAGATCTCGTTCGTTAAAAGTCTCCTTGAGCTCACGGTTACCTCTTCTCAAACGCGACTAAGATTACTAAATTGCAGTCTCTATTAATGGACTATTTGCAAGTTCAGTTCCGTGCATTGTTGGCTGAACACAAGAGAGTATCTAATAACTAACTTTGAAGGTGCATTCTAACGGATGCTCTTGAGAAAATCGGGCCAAACAATTCAACCGTTTAATGTTTTAAACGGCCGAGAGTACTGTCCGTATCGTGTAAATCGCAGGGAGAATATTGAAAGATAATATATAATCGAACGATCCTTAGGAAGTTTATAGCGTATTGTACGCTGATTATTTTGCTAAATTTTAGAAGCAATGATATATTTTCTTTATAACCAATATTTTGCTGTCCTTTACATATTACGTCTGTTGTAATTCACAATGCATACGCTGAGCGTGGTCTATTCTTCGAGTCTTTCTTCGGTTAAAAGCTGATTTCGTTTTCCAAAATAACCAAAGTTTCGAGGATACTCGTTGGGAATCGATCGCGTTCGAGAAGTTGCCACGGGTTAAACACGATACCGCGAGGATCCACCGTCGACCGGGTAACTCCGGGCGTCGTTAAAATTGAGCACGGTTAACGACGTTAGCCGAAGCTGCTTCTTTTCGCCGTCGGATCCGAGGATTCGGCGATCGGTAAAAAGGTGAATCGGGAGGATCGATCTAACGGAAGCGGGAACCGGGATCGCGTAAATATTTCAGTCGTTTCGCGTTCGCGGAACTCAACGCGGCGAATCTATTATCCACGGGCCGCGGTGAGAAACGACGCGGTTTTCAACTGTTCGAAAAGAAAAGATCTCGCGGAAAAGGAAGAGGAGGAGGAAGAGGGATCACGTGCAAGAGAATGGGAAACTGGGCGGAAGGATGCGGGGGGGCCGTTTCAAGGGTGAGAAATCGAATCAACAGGGATTCTAAAAGCACTCACCGTTAATTCCTCGTCAGTGGAGAACTGCGATCTCGTGTCCAGGTGTCTCGAATGCCTCAATCTGGTTGCATTCGCTGGAACAGAAAGAAAATACGGAATCTGTTAGAATCTTTTCCGCGTACGGCTACGGGAGTCGCGCTGCACCGACGATACATCCTCTTTTCGAGGACATACCGGGTGTTCTGAAACATATTTTATTATTTTTATACGCAGAATGTTTGGGAATTATCGAGCAGAACACTTTTACATCTGCTTATATATATTTGTTTTAATTAAAAAAACAGAATGAACGTAGTTACGACTCAGAACACTGAGCATATTAAGATTACATAATTATACGGTGTCTCGTTAGCTATTTGCTTAGATTATCGATTGAGATTTACAGTTAATGGTACGATCGATAATTCTAACGCAGAATCGATCGGTAAAGCGTCGCGGGACACCCTGTATGTCCTATCCAAACCGTTTGCTCCATCCCACGCGAGCAGTCTGGTAAAAGCTTTCGATTTTATGGTCGACGACACCGCACGACGAAGAAGTATCGAGAGAGGTCGATTAATAATTAAGAGGGAACGTTACGTACGCGCCACGATGTCGAACGGTCCTCGTCGATTCCGCCTAATAATTATTTCAGGGCGCGTTTATCGCCGCGCGACCGTTTTCGCGCCGATTTCAACCGTCGTCGCCATTTTTGCCGAGAGAGACGAGAGACTTCTGTGGACGCGGTGGTCGAGCGATAGGAATTCGTGTATCGATTATTAGCCCGCGGAGAGAGAATTCAAAGTGTCGGTGCGGTGATTGCGTCAACGGAGATCGGGAATTGCGGATATTTTGCGAAGCTGGAGGGGAAGAGAGACGAGGGAAAACACCGAACGCTCGTTACGGACGAACTTTGTGGCGCCGTGCCGCGGTTTCGGCCGACCCTGTCCGATTTTTTCCTACGCGCTTGCGATTTTCCAGACGAACCTTTGGTCGACGAAATTTCTATAACACCTGTATGGATTTTCGCGTATGCAAACTGAAACGTACAGAAACCCCTTCGAACGTATGTATTGCTCGTTATAAAATTATTATATTACGAGATTATACGAACGAAATAAATTTGGAAAACCGGCAGGAAATTGACTGATTAAAATATTATCGAGTGTATTTAATCGTACAGTAAATACATTAGGCGATACAAATTAAACGCATATTCGGGTACTGTCGCTTGATGGTTTCCATCGGGCATAATATTCGTAGAATTATATAAAATCGACGGGATTACGCGGGCGAATGGCTAAAGAAAACAAACATGGATAATTGGCGCTCGTATCGTTTCGATATTTCATATATATTTTAACAAATTCCAAACAAATCTTAAATTTTTATTGAAACTAAACAACAATATTTACACGTTCTGTAGTTTTAAATATTCACATAATTGAAATGTAGAAATTATAATTCCTCTTCTCCTTGCAAACTGCGTGTCTACGCCATATTGCAATATTTTCATGACTGCTGGGTAACTTCTGAAAAAATTGATTTCTGTTTCACACCTTCCAAAGGAATATGGTTTTTGAAAAACGTGGCTGTAAAATCCAGTGCGCAAATTCCTTTTTTGAACCTTTTGACACGTTCTTGGCAAAAGCAAAGCTGTATTTGCTCGACTATTTCCGAAAATATTGCGTCAAAGTGATTTTCGCGGTCCGACGCGCGAGCACGTCCAAAATAATGCACAAGCTAAAATGGGTAAGTGTACGGAAAGTGGTGGAATATCAAAATCATTGAACGTTGACAAGCTAAATAGGTTGCAGGCGCGTTACAGTGTAACCGGGGATGGGAGCGTTCGTCCCGTTTTATTTGCCAGCTCGTTGTTTCGGCCCAGCAAGCTCGCGTTGCGGCCAACGCGGTGCCGAGTTCAAACTTTCATTATTATTTTACGAATCGGTCGCTAACGTTTTCCAAGTCTAAATTCATCCTTCCAATATTCCAATAATTCCTTCCTACTGTGTCCAAAAAGCTCGCAGAGGAATCTAATTAAAAAAGAATCGACATTTTCTTTGTTAACCCGTTCGATGAAAATAACCTCTTAAATCTTTCAACGGTCGATGTGGCGCTGCGGTCGCGCTCGCGAAACAAATTCGAGCGAATAGATTCGACGGAGATATCGAAACCGTTTATCGTGGGGACGCAACGGTCACCCGGCGACGATAAGATTTATCGAATTCGGTTCCAGCGGTTTTCGACGCGTTTCGGGTAAGCGAAAAAGCTTCGACCGTCGATCCGACCATTGCCAGGCGGTTCATCGAGTTTCGGCTTCCCTCGATCCAAGTACGTTCCGTGCCGTCGCGTAATCGCATTACAAAATCGTTTGACAAAAATATTTGTGGCCTTCGGTTTGTCACGCTTCGCGTATCGAACACCCCCTTCCCCGGCATCCGACAGAAATCGTTTTTTCGTTTTTCGATTCGCGTCGAACGGTTCCCTCCACCTCGCTCGTAAATCCAGAGAGAATCGATTGTACCCCGGGTAAAGATGGTCTCCGGACGGAAAACCGCTTCGAGGATTATCGGGAACCGATGAGAAACTCGCGACTTGATTTTCGCTTCCGATCTCCTCCCTCCCGCCCCGCGTAATTCCCCGATCGAAAAATTGCCAGAGATGAACTTCCATTACTGAATTTCGGAGTTAATGCCGTATTAATCGCCAAAGGATATATCTCGCAGCTCGACGAAAGTCTGTAATTGCCAATTAATATATTGATCGTCGAACGGGAGTTACGCGACCCTCGAAAAACCTTGCGTTTAGCCCCGCTCGTGCTTTTTCACTATGCACGTTCTTAATTCACCGTATGTATGCTTAATACGTGTATTTTTCGAAGCGTATTAGAACACGCGTACTCGATTATTCCCGTGGAATAATATTTGTCCAGCAAGTTCTTTCATGGAACTTTCATAGGATTTTTCTTTTGGGTTTATTTCAGAGTTTCAAAGGTATCTCTCGATGCAATAAAGTTCGAGAGAGTAATGCAGTTTGCTTAAATTTATTAATTTGTCATAATTTGTTCTATGGAGGTAAAGAGTAACTTTTAACGGTCGCTCGAGGAGTACATATAAGAAGATGGTCGTTTAAATACTCGCGAGAGAGCGTAGCCCTCTGCTGGCGAGCGAGAGAACTGCTGGCTTCTAGCTCTGGCCGTTTAGTCGCTAGCATCGCGTACAGGAGAAAAAAGCCAACCTTATTTACAACTTATTACGAATAACGCTTCGTTGAAAGTTCGATGCTTCTAATCGATGTCAAGTACCGTGTATTTGTATACCTCCGGAAACTCGATGCTTCTAGTTTATAAGTAAACAGCCCGTTGCTTCCCCTCGTACTCGACGAGAAGACTGGAAACTTGTTCGAACTTGCAAATTATTCTCGCGAGAAAACTGGAAGCTCGTCCGAAGTCCTAAATTATCCTCCAACCCATCCTGGCCAAGTATCCTCTAACGAAAACCGCGTTACTCGTTCCGAGACGCTTCGCCCGAAAACGAGCCGAGGAAGGTGGATTTGAAAAACCAATCAAGCTGGAAAATGACATCGACGAACGATTTCCCAAATATCCGAAACGTTCTCGTCCGCCGTGGAGACGCGACTCGGGGACCCAGATCACCATCCTTCGAAAAACCCGACGCGAGCTTTCCGTCGTTACGTTAGCCTTTCACCGCGGATCCGTCCAAACCGTGGGTTTACGATACGTCACTTTACAGTGACAATACGACACAACTTCGGGGGTTCCTTCGTACCAAATAGAATTCCAGTTTCTCCGTTTACGGTCAACGGAAAATTTACGGTTCGAAAACATAACGTATTTTAAGGGATTCGAAATTATTAACGAGTCTCTAAAAAGCAAACGTGGATTACTTTCTTAACACTTTATCGACCAGTTTTCATTTTGACAAAATGAATATTAAATAGTATTTTAACAATTATAAATTAGGATGAAATTATAGTGGTTTGAAAGAAGGATTATTACAAGATACAATAATTTCCTTTGCTCGAATAAACGAGAAAGTAACGATGGTTCCTGACCTAATTGTTGGATGTAATTAATACTGTCTTCATCGACGTGAAAGATCCACGGGTAAGTAGGTTCGCGACGCGCCGATGTGGCGTTCGTTTCGAACGAGTCAACCGAATCCCCGTTTTCTCTACCTAATTTTCTCCACCGTTATTAAATTTAACGACTAAGTCGTTACCTTTAAAAAGACACGGTTAATTAGATTTTCCACGTTTCTACTTTATTTGCCAATCGCTTGGAATTTGTTGTCCTAAAACCGAGAATCGAATCCTGATATTGCTCGTATCCTCATAAACATAAATGAAACTTTTGAATATTATCTCAAATTAAATAAGTTTATTACACCTTTGAAATTAAACGTCTTGATGCGCTAGACATAGTTTTATTCGATAAAGCGTCAAAATAACAAAATAGCTCGAGGAATGATAATGCGTAGATTCGAATTGTCTGAAGAGCGAAAATTGTGTATGGCGTTGGACGTCGAATCGCGAGAATTTTCGCGCTCGTCGTTTCCCCGGCCGTTTCTTTCAGCAACAGGTGGCCCACTGTTTCTGAATCCTCGGGAAAAAATTTCAGTGAGCGGCGCGCGGCACTCAATTTTCCTCGATCGTGCGTTGGTCGAGTCCGCGACAGATCGATGGTAAAACGAGACGATCGGGGTTCGTTTCCGGTGATTTCAAACGTCGTCGCTGAGGGATGCGCGAGAGACTCGACGCGAGCTATCGTTTGTATCACGGTCGGAGGAAAGTTAGCGTCAAGTTGCGGCTGCAACGACGTTTCCACGACGCCGCGGCGTCAGATTCAGCCGGTTCGCCTGAAAATTTATTACAGTTTACCTTCAAAGTTGAACGCTTTGTAGATCGACTCTCTCTGTGTCGGGCCACGTCCCCGACACTAGTTTCGCGCTTAGTCAAATACCCGCCAAAACTCCCTCCCCACATCCATTCCCGCTGATCCATCTAACAGCGCGTCTATCGCGATAAATATTCGTGTCTTTTTCTTTTATATACAATCACTTTTTTATATAAT